AATAACTAGGGTCTGGCTATTCCATTTCAACACAAAAGCAAGCCTACTAGCCCAAGTGGCTGATGAAGTTGGAGTTTTTATAATCTATATCAGTTTTAATGGGGGAAATCTTATGTAATGGCCGGAGTATGTTCACGACAGAAAAATATATGAAGGATATAAGGGTAATAGGTTGATAGCAGTAGGATATTACAGACACATTGAAAAACACTAAAGTTTTGGTAAATATGACGTTCAAGATGTTGTCACCTCTGCTTTGGTCGAAGTCTCCTTTAGATGTATATAAGTGGGTAGATCTCGTTTTCGCAGCCTAATCGCATTGTCAGGGTGACTTAGTTAGACAAAACTTGTCCAGAGTACTTGGCTATAGTATTTTTCATAATTCTCATAATTGGACTGTGGACTTGGTCCATTCCCAGATGTTTAACCGGAATCGTCAGTGAATCTTGCCAATCCCAACACCAAGATACAACTTGTATAACAGACAAGCAAAGTCAATCCCTTGAACAGCTTTTGATTGTACTGCTACCCTACCCCATACCCTCAGTCACTCACGCCTATCACAACTTCTGACTTGTTTATATTGAATTCCTCTATAGGCACCCTTTTTTGAAAGTCCAGTGTGGAGTCATCACACCTATAGTTTATCTGGCTATTCCTCCCTCTAGGTTAACCGATTCGACTCGGGCTTCCTATCTGAATATCCCTCATGGGCTGTCTAATCTTTTTTCTTTCTGATTGACTGATTTCATTCGCTTCCAGCCTCAGCAATTTTTGTTTCTGTGAGAGAACACGACTTATCAAATAAAAAGCGAGTTTCGAAGAATCGTATGAGATAAGATTGATGTTAAGACTTAATCTCGTATGAAAGTACATGGTGAAGAGATTCGTAAGTCAATCACGCAAGAAGACGTAGGCTGATACACATCGTACTGCAGCCATTGGCAGTAAAACGACGTTCAGGTTAATGCAGTCCACGAGACATCATCCAACGTTTCGGGGGAAGACAGGCTTAATCTTTGTTCATCATGTGGTGAATATCGTCAGAGCTGGGACGCATTTTGTTCGTCACATGAAAAACAAAAGCTCAGCCCGCCTTCACCCGAAACGTTGGAAGATGTGTCGTTGACTGCATGAAGTAGTTCCATACTAAATGAAAGTTTTCACATCAATGACTAATCAGTGTGACCATAATAACTACCTATTTCACATTCAACGGCAACATCTACGAAAAAATAATTAGACTTTTTATAGAATAGCCCCTCTCACTTCTTTTGGCAAAAGTATTTACGTACAAATAATAAGAGGATTTCAAGACGTCAGCACTGCAACAGCCCCCACGCACTTCGGTCGCATGGAAAAATTGGAAGATTTCCTGAAGTTCATGAACTAGATTGATGGAATAAGCAAATTTACTGTCGAGGTAGAGAAAGATAAACGGTTATCTTTCATGTATGTTGAAGCCATTAACTAAAATGGGACACTCAAGGGGAAATGACTCAGAACGAAGTAATACGTTACAATGGTACTAAATTTACAGTATCGTCGCGTCTACAAAATTAAAATCGGAATAACTACCAAAGCCAACGAATAACGAACATGGAATTCTGGGATGGGGAATTGGGATCTTTGACTCTGCTAAAGATATCCGAGGAAAGTCATACAAAGAATTATACAGACAGTGAAAAGCCAATGGAGAGGGAAATATGAAAGCAAAATACGGATAGAAAAGCTTCCCAAAATTGGCCATATCTAGATTCGAAAGCTAAGGCTAATATTAAGAAAATGGAATATCCAGGTAACCACGACGGTAAAAGTAGCGCATCAAAAGTTTACCCTCACAACATGAAGGCAAACAAAATAGATTGCGCGGGAGTTTACCGATCAGCACGTGGCATCCGCAAACAAAAATATAAATTTTAGTGTATTGAACTAGTTGTTCCACCTTGGTCTTGTTGTCAAGGTGACTTAGTAGAGCGCACCTTGTCCGGAGTCCTCAGTCATAGTAGTCATCATAATTCCCAACATGAGACAGTGGACTTGGTACATTCTCAGACGTTTTGCCGGCATCATCAGTGAGTGTTGCCATTTTCCGCATCAAGCTACGAATTCGCTAGAGACAAGTGAAGTCAATCCCTCGACCAACTTAATACCAAAAAGGGTTATATTATCACTCCTCTTTTTGTCCTGGCTTATCTATCTGCCCAACTCCCGCCCCATCACAAATTCTGACTTGTTTACATTACTGAGTCTATATGAGGTAAGATAAAGCCGGATAGTCTTCTTGGTCTAGTGTTAACGAAAGCCTTTTAGAAGAATGACACTCAGCTCTGATGATGTCCGTCATATGATGGACGAAAGCTCAGCACGTTCTCACCAGAAACGAGGGAGGAAGTCCCGTGGACTGCGTCAACATGAATATCGTATAAAATCCAAACGGCTGAAGTACGAGATTCATCCGTCCTCATCTGGTGAGATCGATCAACGAATCTCTTCTTCGTGCATTTTCATACGAAATGAAGCTCCCTCTAATAATGTTATCTCAGGAGATTCATCGAAACCATCTACATTCCACTCGTCATAATGTGCCCTATTTTGGCAAATTTTGTGCGGCTTCATCACACCTATTCACCCTGACCCTCTCCCTTTAGATCGGCTAATCCGACATAGGCCTCCGATCTGCATCTCCCTCATGGTCCCATAGGTCCGTTACGGTTGACCGGTTTTACTCGATTCAAGTCCTAGTCTGCGTTATACTCCGTGCGCTATTTTTCAAGGCCCTAGAAGCATGTACACTGCGGCCTCACCGAGTAGAGCGCCTGAGCTCTGAGTCCCATATTTGCAGATATCAGGCATTGTTTTCACGAATCGTCTCCTTGATTAATTCATGTTACCTGAGCAAACTGTGGACCCCTATCTGTGGTCGCATGTGGAATCTTAAGTGGATTTCTAGTATATTCTGGTCACGTCGAATTTCTGTGACGGTTTGCTTATCCGTCTGCCTAGCTCCCTTAATTCCAGGCCACCAAAGTTGTACTAAATTATTCGAGCAGACATCGCTTACTGACGTCTTCGCTTGATTGCCGAAAATCCGCCCCCTCCTTTGTCATCGCGATCCGTTTTTCTCCGATTAACGATAGATCCTTGATCCAGGCGTCTTCTTTTTCTGGTCTTGCTCTATTCTTCTTTTCACCGAGTTTGCTTAAGCAGTAGGCAAAGTTGTCGCTAACTTTACCATCTTCCAATCTTCTGTTCATTACATTTTTCCCCCAAGGATGCCAATGGTCTCCCTAATCTTCCGTTTCCTTGTGCTTTGACCGTATGGGGCCTTCTTTCTGCTGCCTTCCAATTGATTTCGTGTAGTTTGTGCGATTTGTTTTGCTAATTACAATCTTTCGGTACATTTTCTAGAAATAAATTTAATGAACAGGTGATTGAAAGAAGGCAAAATTAGCGATAACTTTGTCTGTTGCTTAAGCAAACTCGAGGAAAGCAAGGATACGGCAAAACCAACAAAGGGATGCTTGGATCAGGGAACTATCGTTAGACAGAGGAAAAGGGATCGTAATGAATAAATGGATGAGGATAATTGGGAAATCAAGCTAAGACGTTCTCAGTGAGTGCAGTATGCTCAAAGGAACAACCAAAACTATGGAGGCATTGCGGCCACAAGACCAGGGAGACGGATAATCACAGCCATCACAGAAATTCGGCATTATAACCAAATTGACTAGAAATCCATTTGAGAGGTAGCAGGCGACCAGACGTACATAGTTTGCTCAGTGAACTCAGGTTTAATCAAGATTACCCGCGAAGGGAATGCCCAATATCTGCAAGCATGGGAATCAGAGCCTAGATACTCTGCTCGGTAAGGCGGCAGCGTAAGTGCTTCTAAGGCCTTGATAAATAGCGCCTGGAGTAAAATGTAAACTTGAACTAAAACAAAGGGAAATTGGTCAACCAGAAGGATAAGGAAATGATCTACGAGTTCATGAAGTAGATCCAGGTAGAAGGTCCGCATCGGATCGGCAAATCGAGAGGTGGGGGCAAAGTAGAAAATTGGCTTGATGAGATCATACCAAACCAACCAAAAAGGGCACATCTGCAGAATGTAAGTCAGAAGTTGTGGTAGGGCTGGAGCTAGGTAAGAGAGTAGTGGTGCACAGGTAGATGCATCCGTACAGAAAGAGGACTGATAATACAACCGTTTGACAGAAAGTCGATTAAGGGATTGACTCCACTTGTCTTCTTGTAGTATGCTACTGAGGATGGGAAGACCCGCTGGCGGTGCCAGCGAAGCGTCTTGGAATGTGCCAGGCTCACGGTGCAATGCCTGGAATTATGATAACTAATATGACAGAGAAGCAGAGTTCATATTGATATTGACCGAAATACTTAGCTAAAATAAATAAAATCGGATATAAACCAGACGGCGAAATTCGATACGAAGCCTAGCGTATATAGCAGAGATCCCCGACCCCAAAAATCACACTAAAGAAGTAAATTCTGCTTTAATGTGGCTAGACTTCTTTTATACTCTGATAACTGATATACACAATTCAAAGAATATAAAAATTCTTGATCCCCAAGAAGGAACATTGTATTTTACATAGGTACAGTAAAAAAGTAAGGAAAATGTGGGTTTAGCTCAGGTCAAATAACTAACAGGCTGATCTGTATGAATACACGAAAGAACTTCAGTGAATTGTATGATGGAATGGGCACTTAAATATGTGCTCACACATTTTTTGTCCTAAAATGAAGTTGAATTGAGTTTTTCTAATATTTTAAGATAACAGATTCCTGGAATCATAAGGACGTGGAGGGGGTGGTATCCTTAGTTTCTCTCTAAGATCCAAAATATTATCTTCCCAATGTCTTTCATAATATACACACATCAAATTTTCGCTATATCGACCAACACGAATAGCGTAGGATAGATGAGTTGAAAGGTATATATTCGTTTGCCTGAAAGAAAAATAAGTAAATGTGTAGTTAAAAAAACGCATTTTCGGAAGAAAAACTGAGTTAATTCAATGGAGAAATGAGACAGTTGTGAAAAAGTCAGCTACCAGTCCTTCATCATTCCAAAAGACATATGGTGAATACATCTCATATACATGGTCTACTGGCAGTCTCGAAAATCTACATATAAACAAAAATTAAATAACTATTATTTTCATTGTTGATGTAACTAGAAGTCGAATAAAAGGGATCAAATCACAAGATAAATAAAAGCGATGTTATTCTTTTTATCGAGTTTCGGAACATTCCATGAAGTGAACAGTGATGAATACTTCATCATTCATGTTGATTCGCGTAGAATACTTAAGATTTCAAAATCAGTATACCCCAATGTTTTACAGGACTAATATGAGCGCTAATACTGCCATATAGACACAGTGTCCAAGACGTATACTAATATATCTTGGCTTTAATATCGTAAACGAAAGATGCAAATCAGCTTCGTGAAGAGTGCAATAAAAGCAATGAGAGAAAGGCATGAAGTGATAGGTCACATGATGCTATTAGTAGAACTATCTTAAGGCTAATATAACAAAAAATAATCCCCTACTAGCGACACAGTTGACATTTTTATATATAAGATGACTAAAGTGCGAATTGTATTACAACATAAATAGCAAAATTTGACACAATTAATTTGGTTTCAAGGAAAAAAGGGTGAAAATAGATGCATCGTTAATACTATAACAAAAAATGGTTACACTCATGAAGTATATGAAAATAGATTATAGATAATAGTACAGAAACACCCATAGAAAAGCAAAGGGTAAACAAAACCGGACTCTGTATATGACAAGTGTAGACAGCGATTTCGAATGAGTTGTATACCTAAGGCTGTAAGAGGTTGAAAATGCTTTAAAGTCATTTCGCTAATAATTAGAGATTACAAGTTGTAAGGAATCAAGTAAGTCCATGAAAACTACTAAGAGATGAATATTGTTAAGAAACAATTAAAGGCAATCAAATTGAACAATGCGGGAGAAAAAGATAAAACATGGATAAGAAAACGCTGATTAACTATGCAAGAAAGAGACAAGAGGTAGTATATAATCCGAGTAAGGACGATACCTGGAGCCTAGTCGGAGTGCACCAAAGAAGCCTCCCGTGAGGCACATGGGCAGTTGGGTTTGCAAGCCCTCGACCCACTTAACCACAACCTCGCCCAACAGGTCAGTAGGCTGTTCAAGTAGCGTATGAACAAGGTCATGGATTTCTCTGTAACGTAGCATAACATATGCTAAATCTGGATCATCGACGAAGCGAACAAGACGT